GTAATTCTTGAAGTCAAGTTGTGTCAGTCCTCCAACCATGTTCCTCTTCTTCAATGTTGTGTTGGATATATATATATATATATATATATATATATATATATATAAAATTTCCATATATATTTTAGAACCACAGAATAGCCACAAAATAATTTGCTGAGATTTTGATTGGGATTGCATTGAACCTATAGATCAAATTGGGAAGAACTGACATGTTGATAATCTTGAACCTTTCAATCCATAAGAATGGACTATCTCTGCATGTATTTAGTTACTGTTTTATTTCTTTCATCATAGTTTGGTGCTTTTTCTCATATAGATTATGTACACATTTTGTTAAATTTATACCTAAGTATTTAGTCTTTGAGGGGAACTAATATAAATGGCACTTTAAAATTCCACTTGTTCATTGCCGGTATATAAGAAAGCAATTTACTTTTGTGTATTAATCTGTACCTTACAACCTTGCTATAATTACTTATTAGTTCCAGGATCTTTTTTTTTTTGTCAGTTCGTTTGGATTTTCTACATAGATAGTCATGTCATCTGCCAACAAAGACAGTTATAATTCTTCCTTCCCAATGTGTATATACCTTTTATTTCTTTTTCTTGTCTTATTGCATTAGCTAGGACCCAAGTAACTTTCTGAAGGACACAGAGCTATTCAGTAGCAGTGCTAATAATGAAATCCATAACCATTTGATATCAAGGCACATACATACCCTTCAATCATTAAGCTAGCTTGCATTCAGTGTTCCTTTCTTTAATCTTACCTCGTTATTTGCAGTGTCTTAAAATGTTATTTTATTATTTGTATTTATATTACATTAATTTATGTTTTACAAGGATTTTTTTTTTTTGCAATTAATTTTTACTTGTTTGTTGTCATTTATACTTCCTTTTGTCACCTTCTTTGTGTTTTTTGGTGGGTAGCTACTTTCCTTTTTGGCTTGGTTTTCTTGTTTCCAGAGCTCTTCCTCTGTAAAATGATTTCAGCATGGAATGTAAAATTTGGAATTTAATTTTTATTTGCAGTGGTTGTTTTGCTTTACTTTCTTACCAACAAAACATATAGACAATAAACCATAAAAATTTTTCATTAATCATGGCTCATCTTGCCACCCTCAATGCAGAATGAAGTCTGTGCTTATGCTGGTCTTTGAAGCCATTAACCCCACACATAAGAGTTTCATTTTAGTGGGACTATACACCATCTTTTCAAGTCAGACCAAACCTTCAGGCAGCCTGCTTCTCCAGCTTTACCATGTTTGCTGATGGTAACTCCTGAGTCATCACAAATTCACTTTTGCCTCTTGCTGGTTCTAACCCTGTGGCTTTAATGTTGTGTTTTTTGAGTATTAAAATGATATACAATAAGTGCCAAAAAAATCCAGAACACCTATAAAAGATTAAAAAACAAAACAAATGAACAAGGATATTGCGCAGTACTCTCTCCCAGAGAAAATCATGCTTAGCATTTTTGTATGTATGATTTCAACTATATTGGCACTTAGACCATCATGAAGATATAATAGTAATTATTTTTACAAAAAGGTGCCCATTAGACATGCTATTTTTTTAAACCTCAACACTATGTTTTGGACATCTTTACATGTAGAAATATATAGACATTTATTATCTTTACTACTATGCATATTATTTCATTGCAGGTGTAAGCCATATTTATATGATCCATATTGTACTGAAGGATAACTAAATTGTTTTTCTTTCCTTATCTTCCTCTTCCTCCCCTTCTTTGCCCTCCCTCTCATTTTTCTCTACTTTCTTTTTTTTATTCTCCTTTTCTTCATTGTTCTTATCTTCCTCCTTCTGTTTCTTTTCTTTCTTCTCCTCCTCTCACCTCATGCCACTCCTTCCCCTCAAGCCTGCCTCCTCTTTTTCATCTTCCTCCTCCTTGTGTCAGCTTAAACTATTCTGCAGTAAGCCCACTTGCTTTCTTTATTTTGATTTCTTAGTACTTTTTTTTTCTTTTATCTTTTGCTTCTTCCCTCCATATTTAGGTTGATTTTCTACTTAGTCTTTCCTTTGCTCTTTTAACTTTGGTCCATGATATTCTTTCTCTCCCCATTCTGATTATTCAGCACTTTACTTTGACTTTCATTTCTGTTAATAACTAAGGTGAGAGCTGTTAAGAGCTTTGTTGATGGTTACAGTAATTCTTGTCCGAGCCAAGCTAAAATGCAGTTCTCCTGAATTTCAGAACTATGGTCTTTTTACTAGACTTAGTTCCCTCATCATGGCTGTGGCTAACAATATCCTCACATTTAGTATACAAGTTAGAGAAAGAAGCAAAGAAGCAAACAAAAACAATAGAAAAAAGATAAAAAAGAAAAGGAGAAAGAAGACTACTCACCAACTTAACTAGAGGGATTTGACTTTAGTGTTCTCTCTGCTTAGTAACTTAGTTCCAGGTGAAGTAAAAAAAGAACTCTTTGTGAATGCTTGCCTACTTTTGTTTGTTCCAAAGCTATTAAAAATGTATAATTGTTAACCTACCCAACAGTGCCAGCTGAGCTTATAGAACTAAAAGGAAGCATAATAAATAGTCAATAATATCTGTACTTAGAGGTAAGATTCTCATGCCTGATATAGTAATTTAATTTCTTTTTTTAAAATTAAAGGAGTTTGTATACAGAATTTATATACAGTATGTAATAGCAAGCAGTCAAGACTTGATCTTGTAATCTTTACTCTAAATCTTTACAAGTAAATAAAGAAATTTAAATATGTGATTAGGTAAACCAAACTAGAAGGCAGAAACCAAATGGTCTTATTAAGTATATCTTGGCAGGAAGTTTTTGCAAAGCCGAGGTCTCTTGCTATATGGTTTTTCTCATGACCATCTTTGTTTCTTTGTTGGCAGTCATTGATTCTGGCTCTGAGGCATTTTCTTATCAAACAACCCATTTGACATGAGCTAAATCATGATTGTTTATTGTGTTGTGCATTTAAGAAATATCTGGTTAAATTAATTAAAGAAGGAAGCAATTAGAGTGAGGTGGCTGTAATGCCATGGTGGTTAACGTAAGCAAACCCAAGTCTAAGCCTGTAAGCGCCTCAAGGGCACAAAATCAAATCCTAATGGCAATCAGTTACAAACAGCCAACTAGGCTTTATGCTGCAGCCAGGCAATCATTTCTGTGCTTTCCTCTCACCTGTTCTCTCTAAAAGGCTCTCCCTGAGCTCCTGTCAGTGGAGTGCTCTGAACCACTTCCTGTTTGACATCGCCATATTTGAATCGATTTTTGCTCAAACAAACTCTTAAAATTTTCAGTTTGCCTCAGTTTATCTTTTAACACTATAAAGTAAAAAGACCACATTTTAAGACCAGATGGAATTCTTTTTACGCTGATGAGATTTGCCTTTTAAAATCAAAGGAGATTAAACACTTACTCCAACATTTTGCTTCAAGTGTCTAGAAGAGTTTTTTGAGAGGAGTGGGCATTCTCTTTGTGAATTGTTGCCTCCAAATTCTATTACAAACAAGAAGTGTCGTTCCCCCCCCCTCCGCCCCGCCCTGGCCCCACACACACATCATAAGTCTGGAGTAGGAAAATAGTTACTAAAAAAAAAGCCCACTTTGTATCCTTGGGTTAGTTCATTAACCTTTCTGTGCTTAGTTTCCTCAACTACAAAATGATGATAATAGTAGTACTTAACTCATAGAATTGTTCTAAAGGAATGAAATATCTAAGTGCTTAGAACAGTGCAAAGCACATAATAATGCTATATGCCTTTGCTATGACTATTTCTACTGTTATTATGACTACTACTACTACTACTACTACTACTACTACTACTACTACTGTTATTACAATATTACTACTACTACTCACGATCCTCCCTCCTTCCATATTAATTTAAGAATTTATTGGCTCCAAATGACTTTGGCTTTGTCTACAAACAAAAAACATCCCCCACAGATGAAGATTTGCCACTAATGAAGCAGTGAAAAGCTATATTGCAAGATCTAAAGTTAATTCTGAAAGAGCAGTCCCAAAAGTGTTTTGAGTAATGAAGCAATGTTGGAGTACACATAGAATCTCTCAGATGTTTGCTCTGAAGGAAGTCTCTCTCAGCCAGACATATAGTGCACATTTTTTAAAAAGTCAGTCATGCACTTTACATCTTATTTCTCCAAGGTAAACACACTTCTTGAAACTAGAAGCTATATTTTCCACTTACATGATTTCCCCATAGCATCCAGCACGGTGTTTTAAAAATTGCAGATATTCAATAATTATCTTGATTAGCTGCTGAGGTAGAGTTGAGGGGAGGAGAGTTAAGAATAAAATGTTCTCCAGTTAATTGCAAATTCTTCCCTACTTGCATTTTATTATTTTTTCCTACAGTTTATGGAAAATGCTTTAGCAGGTATTTGTCATTTTAGTTTTTTACAATTTTGTAAATTTTATAAAAATTTGAATTCTTACAAAAGGTCCATTGTAAGATTTTGTATTTTTGTTATTGTTTCAAAATGGAAAGAAAAAGTGTTAGTGTAAAGACAAGCCTGTTCCAATTACATTTCATGAAATTTGTTAAGAGAGTCATTGAAATTAGAGCTGGTAGGGACCATGCTATTACAGCTTAAATACCCAGCAGAGTACCTGGAACACCATGGAAACTTAATAAGTTATTGAAAAGTAAAGGAATCATTTAGTACAGCCTCTTCATTTTACAGTTGAAAAGTCTGAGGCCCAGGTAACTTGTTCACAGTCACATAATGGCATAAGAGGGAGTAGAAGAAATGTTCTTTGATGTCACCATGCTTTAAATGTGGATTTCACATTTTAAACTGTAACATGGAATAGACTTTAAATTTTGTCTTCAAAGCACTTTTTGTTTCATTTTAAAGTATGTGAATAAATCACATTCTTAGCTTAATATCTGTTACATTTCAGGAGGGCAGTAGTAGGAATTTGTACAAAGCACCAGGATTGTTTTGAGGGGACAGTAGACTGTCTTTTAAGTGGCTAGCTCAAGGCCTGTTAATATTTTCATTTCCTTTCTCCCTACCGTGTTGTCTCTGTTATATATGATTAGGGGTTCCTTTCCACAATGAAAGGCTTTTCTATTGGAACCATTTGTTTCCCTCGAGACATGACGCATCTCCTATTTTGTATTTCTTAGGCTTTCAAGAAATGTTGCTTATTCTGTTGATTGATTTTCTGCCGTTTTACAGGATGGAAAAAAGGAGCCCAGTTCATGTACCTGTTTGAAGGGGCCCAAACTGTCAGAAATCGGGACAATTGCCTGGATGATTACACTCAGTGATGCTCTCCACAATTTCATCGACGGCCTGGCGATTGGGGCTTCCTGCACCTTGTCCCTTCTCCAGGGACTCAGCACTTCCATAGCAATCCTGTGCGAGGAGTTTCCTCATGAGCTAGGTGAGGGGCTTGGCTCATGTGGAAAGGCTGGTTCCTTGTTGGTTTCAATGGTGTGAGACATTACAGGTGACACCCTCTAAACCTGCTGATGTGTAACAATGAAGAAGCCCTTGTTGGACATTGATGGTTATTTTTTATCTCATCCAAAAATGGAAAAAAACTCTTCATTTGATGTTTTCTTCTTTTTCTAGGGGACTTTGTGATCCTACTCAATGCAGGAATGAGCACGCGACAGGCCTTGTTATTCAATTTCCTTTCTGCGTGCTCCTGCTATGTTGGGCTAGCTTTTGGCATTTTGGTCGGCAACAATTTTGCTCCCAATATTATATTTGCACTTGCTGGAGGCATGTTCCTCTATATTTCTCTGGCAGATATGGTAAGCAATTTTAAATTTTATCTTATTTTAGATGAAAATTTAGAAATAAACGTCTGGGTTATGATTTGACTACCTGCAAAAGGAAGTCCTTTCTGTTGTAATTTGAGACATTCTTGGTTTAACAGATAACTGTTTTTTGAGTAGTTTGTACTAATAGTAATTTGAAAGGGATTCTCACTGATTCTTTAATCTATGATCTTGTTGATAGTAGAGGAGATAATTTAGTTTTGCTATAGTAGAGATATTTTCCCAAGATTTTTGCTTTGTGGTGGATAAGTCTTGTATTCTACTCTAGTACGTTCCTTAGGACTTTTCCTTTTCTTTTGTGAGGACGTCGCAGCAGAAGAGGAATAACTTGCTCGAGTAAATAACATTCTGTTATTTCAAAGCTCTAAACAGTGAGAGCTTTTTGGGTTAAACTAAAACTGGTAAATTAAAATTGGAAAATATTTATTTGTATCAGTATATATTTGCAAAAATGCATCATGACTTTTCCGACAACCCAATATTTGTGTGTGTGTGTGTGTGTGTGTGTGTGTGTGTGTGTGTGTGTGTAAACGGAGAGGATATCAGTGGTCCTGTGCATTTTCTTACGAATCACGGACAGCTTTTTAGAAAGGGAAGATGTGCTACGTGTATGCAAATCAAGAAATATTTCCTTTGCATTTGGAACTGAATGTGTATTGCAGACATAAATTAATAATTTAATTTCCTTCACCGGCACTCGTAGCTCCACATGATAACTCTCTAGCTCTGTTCGTTGTTCTGCGCAGACCCTTATGAGAGCAAGGATTTCATCTCTTAGAACCATCTTGCATTTATATTTTCCTTCACAGAATTAATGTCTCATACTCTATTTATGCTGTCACCACTTTTCCTTTCTCTGACTTAAGAACAGAATCTATTAGCATATTCAGTTTACAGAAGTAATACTAATAAATGATGCTGTATATACTTATAGCAGTTTAGCTCTTTTCAGAATGATTTCACAACTTTCACCCATTTATTCTCATAGCGATTTTCTTAAGTTAGGTACAGGATTCGCTGTGGATCCTGGAGACCTCTTGGATGCGGGTACACACACCACTGCATACATAGCAGGCATTTTGGAATATGTTTCCTAAAGTAGCATTTACAGATCTCCTCATGGAGCCTTTTCGGTAGAAGTTACCTGCTGAGAAAGGGTAGATTTTAAGTCCAGAACTTGGGGTTTTAATTGCTTTCACTATAATGAGATTGTAATAGCCTTCAATCCTAGAACAGTACATACTTTATTTTAAAACCTTATAATGTTGTGAGGGGTAGAGCAAGCAAAAGGAAACAAATGGAAGAGAACAAGAATTAAATGAGTAGCCATTTCTGAAAGAAATGATTTATTCAGCTACAATGGGTTGATATTTCTGTACCTGGCCTGGAAATGGTTAAGACATTGGGGTGAGCAAACAAGGCACAGTCCCTCCATTCCTGGGGCTTTTCACCTGCCCAGAGGGGAACCTGAAATTCAATAAACAAAATCACACACATGACTAAGTAATTACAAAAAAAAAAAAAAAAGTCTGTGAAATGAAAGGAAAAGCAATATATATTATGACAGGTGATAATAGGGGATTCTAAGGTTAAAGTTAGAAGGGGCTAACGGAAGCCTTTTTAGGAAAGTATGATTTAAGCTGAAACCTGAAGGATTTAGCTCATTGAAAAATTGGAGGCAGAAGAGTTCAGAGAGAAGTTTTGGTGGCGGTGAAGGTTGGAGGAAGAAAAGAGGCTGGATGCATGCGAGGTCCTGAAAGAATGGCGTGGATGGAGCAGAAGGTGGGGTGGGGGTGGGGGGGACACACATAAAATGAGGTAATTCCTTTCTCGCTGATTAACTCACATGGGGAACACTATTTTAGTCCTTTTATTCTTGTTGATGTCAAATAGGGCTAGATATTCCTATCGCGCAAGCTCTACGAAAATATTTCAACATCTGAAATAAAGGACCATTCCCCATCCCCACAGAAATCTACGAGCGGCTATTTTTTATTTGACCACAAGATGGCAACAGTTATCTAACAATACATCTTTCTTCCAGTTTCCAGAGATGAACGATATGCTGAGAGAAAAGGTGACTGGAAGAAAAACCGATTTCACCTTCTTCATGATTCAGAATGCTGGAATGTTGACTGGATTCACAGCCATTCTGCTCATTACTTTGTATGCAGGAGAAATTGAATTGGAGTAATCGGAAATGAAAGCTGATGTTGTTAATGAAGACATTTAATAAATAAAAACATCTCCAAAAGGATTTCAAGCTAATCCTGTTTAGTTAAAAGATAATTTTGTTTTCAACTGTAGGTCAAGAAAACTGATTATTATTTTCAGATCTGTGGAAGAAGCCATTGTTTGTTGTTAATAATGCTTCAAAATGTTTCAGTTCTAGCCTGAAAAGCTTCCTATATGAGAGCTTTGGTAAACACCCTCTTTTTTCATGTTTCACGCATACTAGAAAATCATCACAAAGAAAGAAACATGCATTCTATAATCATTTAGACACCAAGAACGAGAGAAAAATACAAGCTGGGTTCTATAAATTTCTAAACCTCTATGGTAGGATCAAAAGTTCAAGTAGTTTCAGAGTGCTTTTCTTTCAATTAATTTGTTCTAGTGTTTTCACGAGCAAGTCCATCAAAATGCCGAAGAGAATCAAAAGGTATATTACACAGATATTAATGATTCCAAGGCCTTAATGAACTTAAGAAAGAAAGATTGCTGACAGCTTTTGCTGTTTCATATTTCAGTTAGGCACTTATAGGATTGCTTTGAAAACCATCCAATATGAATTATGAAATCAATAAAGTTCTGCTAGCTCTAAGTTTAGACTTTGTCTGATACTCTAAAGTGTAAACCCTACCAGATTCCATAAAAAGTCAGTATTGCTTTGTATGACTTATGTTGTGGTTACATCGAACAAATGGCAGAACAGTATGTAAAGCTGGTGACAACTCATTTTCTATGTACAATGTGTTTGCTTTGTGAAGGTAAAGAATATGTTGGTTTGTAGAAAGAAATTGAATATAATTTTAAGCAATTTTCTTTTAACGATGAACACAAATTTTTAGCAAAGGATATTTTAAATAAATGCAAAACAACAGCTGGACTGCTAAATGTCAAGGACTGATTATGCGTTCCTTATGGGATTGCGAGTCATTCAGAAAAGACTTCTTTTGTGTTAGGTCTACATGTTTCCCTACATGGTATACTTTGGAAAAAATTTCTGCACATCATGGTTATTTTTCTACGTTTTATAAAATATAGAGCCTGTTTACTCATTTATCAGATATAGAATGTTGGTCTAAAATCGAACACATTAACCCCAATTCACACTCCCAAGTCTCTTTAGGAAAGATGGTTATTTGACAGTGAGGAAAATGATTTATAAAAGCCAGTAATCTCAGGAATTACATTTTTTCCCCACAGACCATAAAATGGTATCACATAGCAATAACGTAGACCTGATGAATATTTAACATATATATGAATGTACATTTCACTTTATGGCTGACAATTAAAAAGTTATTGTTTGACCAAAGAGTATACAACTTTGAAACCATGTATTGTGTTATTCATTATTCATTTTAATATGTATTTGTTAGTAACTTCCATGTACCTGGTATTATGGGGGAGAGAGATAAATAGGAACTTGGTGATGTGTTTATTTCAAAGATATTAAGGAAATAAATACTGTAACGATTAATCATTGTTCATTAAAATCAGTAAGCATAGAATCTATTTTTTTATCATGCCATCTGTTGATGGTCTATTTGAAGAAATAATCCTTACCCTTTTAAAGCACAGATTGTATGTCTGGGTTAAGAAACTATTTACAACATGACATTAAAACAAATTCTTATTTGGTGGAGATCATTGCATACTTGGACTGTCGGCACACTTCATGTTACTCTCTCCATGTGTTGATCTTTTGGGCATTTTCCTTAATTATATGAGAACAGAGGCAATAGAGCATAAAGACCCAAAAGCAAAAACAAAATTGCTACTTATTGGAGACTATGGTTGCCGGTAGAAGGTAGGAAATGGAAAGCCGTGGTTAAATTTAAATTATCCTAGGTAACTATTTGAAAAAGCATAAACCAACCAGTTAACATATCTTATACTGAGGCATTTATTCTACCATTTAGACATACTGTAATCTTTAGATTTTAAAGAGGCTATGGCAAACCAAAAATGATTTCAATGTGTTTTATATTGGGTTATTTATTTATTTACTTATTTTTTATACTTTATTTTGATATTCAGTATTATTTTATATTAATTTCTGGTGCACAGCATAGTGGTTAGACATGTATATAACTTAAGATGTGATCCCCCTGACTAGCCTAGTACCCACCTGGCACTATACGTAGTTATTACCAAATTACTGACTGTATTCTCTATGCTTTACTTTACATCCCCATGACTACTTTGTAACAACCGATTTGTACTTCTTAATCCCTTCCTATCTTTCACTCACCCCCCAACTCCCCTCTCATCTGGCAACCATCAAAGTGTTGTCTGTATCTATGAGTTTGTTTTGTTTGTTTGTTTATTTTGTTCTTTAGATTCTACATTTAAGTGGAATCACATTGTACCTGACTATCTCTGTCTGACATACTCCACTCAGCCCAACACCCTTCAGGTCCATCCATGCCACTGCAGATGGCAAGAACCCCCTCCCATTCATGGCTGAGCAATAGTCCACTGTATATAGGTACCATCGTCTCTTTATCCATTCTTCTATTGGCGGATACCCACCCTGCCTCCACATCTTTTCCATTATAAACAATGCTGCAATGAACATATGGATGCATCATCCCCTTGAAGTAGCATTTTGGGTTTCTTCAGATAAATATCTAGACGTGGAATTGCTGGATTTTTCTTTGTCTCTAGTTTTAGCCTTCGTTTTAAAGTCTCTTTTGTCTGGTGTAAGAATTGCTACCTCAGCATTTTTGTTTGTTTGTTTCCATTTATATTTAAAGGCTGATTGGTTGTGAGGACTGGCTATGACCACAGTGGAGGAGCTATAGTGCAAGGGTTGACCTTTCAGAGCAGTTTGCTTTAGTGGGGCTCTGGTGCCTGCCCTGTCTACCCTGTCATTTTTCGAGGCAGCTGGGTGATGCCCCATCTTGGTTTAAAGCCTGCCACTGGGTGTGCCAGCCCCAGGGCCTCCTGGGAGGGGTCCCAGTGCAGGCATGTGCTCTGCCTGGGGCCACCTGATATGAGACACAAAGCAATCTGCAGATGGCTGCCACCTGCACCGGACTTAGAGGTGCCTTGAAAGGCCAATCTATGAACCAAGGCCAGCTGTCGCTAGTGCCGGGCTTAGGGTTGCTCATCCAGAAGTATGGAACATGCTGAAGCCAGACGCTGCTTGTTTGGGTTTTGTGAGCCTTTGAGAGATTTTATAAAAGTCTGCAGCATGAGCTAAGACGGGTTGTTTGTATTGGAAAAGCCATTGAAAGTGGCTTGGTTGTGCCCTCAAGTTGGGTGAGGTGGGATCTCAGGGAACCACTAGGGTAGAGCAGACGAAAGGTGATAGCCAGTTTGCTGAAGACTCAGATATGGTATCTGCCTACTTCAGCACGTATGGAGGGGGAGGGCTTAAAGAAACAATGGCTTCCACCAGCTCCTCCCTCTGGAAGAAAGCTACCTCTCCAGCCCAAGCCATGAAGTTAGATAATTCAGTTCTTCCTGTGTGTCCTTGGTGCCTTGCAAGCTGCTGCCTCAGCGCTGGAGCTCAGAGCAGGTGAGTCCATCAGTAAGTCTGTGTGAAGGCTCTTTAAGAGAAGCGTCTAGGACTGCAGCTGCCCTCTGGCTCGCTCAGCCACTTTCTGCTGCTTTTCACAACTAGAAGTTATAGGGATTTCTCTGCCCTGCACTGGAACCCTGGGCTGGGAAGCCTGGTTGGGGCTGGGACCCTTTGCTCCTCTGCAGGGGACCTCTGTAGCCAAGATATCCCTCTCGATTTCTAGTGGTCACACGTGGGTGTGGAACCAGCCTGTTCCATGTTCTGCTCCTTCTACCAGTCTTGAGTTGGCTTCTTCTGTATGTCTTTAGTTGTACGGCTTTGGTTCAGCTAGATTTCAGGCGATTCTCATATATGGTTGTTCTGTAGTTTAGTTGTAATTGATGTGGTCCTGAGAGGAGGTGAGCAGAGCATTTACCTACTTCACTATCTTGACTGAAAATCTCCAGGTTTTATCTCTTATTTTTGCATTACTAAACTTTTAAAAATGCATACTTATAGCTGGAATTTTTTGAATATTTTCTCAGATTGTGTCTTAGTTCGTTCAGGCTGCTATAACAAAATCCCTCAGGATGGGTGGCTTATAAACAACAGAAATTTATTTCTCCCAGTTCTGGAGGGTAGAAGTCCAAGATCAAGGCACCAGCAGATTCGGTGTCTGGTAAGAAGAGCCCACTTCATGGTTCATAGACAGTGTTTTCTCCCTGTGTCCTCACATGGTGGAAGGGGGTTGGGAGCTCTGTGGTCCTGTTTTTATAAAGAACTCTTAATTCCATTCATCAAGGCTCTGCTCTAATGACCTAAGCACCTCTGAATGCCTTTACCTTTCAATACCATCATCTTTAGGGGTTAGGAAATCAATGTGTGGATTGAGGGGGACAAATATTCAGGCCATAGAAGACCCTATTACCGCCCAAGAATTCAAGGCTCACACCAGGTCATTCTCCTGTTTACAGGTCTGCTGAGTGGCTCAGCTTCAGGCTGGGCGTTTTCTAGCCTGAGCCACTGTAGTAGGAGGTGCTGCAAAATCATGTGGCAAAGGGCCTGGATGTGCAGTTCTAATTCAGGAGGAAAGAGAGGAATTGCAAAAGGGTTCCATCTACCTTAAGTAGTCTCTATAAGCTACCTAGTATTTTATTTTACCTGGTAGAAAATATCTAATATCAATAACAACTCACCAGAAGTTTCCAGGATCACTTCCTTATTCTAACTGTAATTTTTATCCTGATTTTATGAGAATATTATTCTTTTTTACCAGTATGTGTGAATGTATAGCTGTAACTCTGGTTCATTGCTGGTTAAGTCAGGATAGTTTGTGTTTGTTCTGCTTGTAAGTTTAACCCTGCCATGTTCATTTCTACAGCAGTTGCTTAGCATAGCCAACATGGCAGTCCACTTATAGACTATCACTGAAGAGCGTTTTAGAATGATGCTTAGTAAAGCCTACTAAATCAGTTATTTCTAACCTACCACATCTAAAGGGGTTTCTTTAACTAGGAGCTTAAATTAAAAAAAAAAGAATTAATTGAGAAGAACCAATATAGCAGGATGAATTTACCAGATAATTAGCATAGATGTTTTTAACAGAGCTAATTACTAATGGCCTGTCTCAAGGGAACATTAACTGCCAGTCTCTCCTTGATGTTCTGATTGGTATTGTCTTCCATTTGGTCTTACTTTGGTTTTTATCAGTAGTGTACCATGATTTCCAAACTCTTCGTTTATTTAGAGTCTATTACAATAAAGGAGTTTCTTAACCCTATCATCAATTCCCTAACATTGATGTTGATATAGCTACTGTCTCACTGACACCGCCTTTCCCCAGATGCAGGTGGCAACAGCTGTGTTGAATTGCATTTCCCTTAGCTTCCTTTCTATGCCTACTGTGCACAAAACATTCTTTCACGGCCATTTAACTTCTTATTTTGGAGGTTCCCAACTTCCATATGTCTCATAACCAGAGATTTTATTAGTAGAATTTCAGGTAAGCTAAGGCAGCAGGATAAACTGAAAATGCCAAATACCTATTCCATTAACTCTAGGACAGACATTTCCCCCATGTTTTGATGTTCCCAAATGACACACTGCGATCATTGGCAGCCAGGTGACATTGTTATGGTCGTTATAGTTGTGTGAAAATTAAAATCATATGTTGAAATCTGGTAAGGCCAAGAAAATGCCAGTATCACTGTGTTTAGGATTTGATGGTCCGTAATAACAGGCACATAAACATGCCAGGCTTACTTTCCTTTCTAAAAGAAGTAGGGCAGAAGCAGTGCAGGGTTGGCATGGCAGTTTCATGGTCACTGGGAACCCAGGCTTCTTTGATCTATCATCTATGGCTTCTGACTTCAAAACTACCTTATGTTCTAAGGTGTTTGCTAGAGATCCAGCCTTATAGTCCAAATTCCGCACAGCAGGAAGGAGGAATGGGTAGGAAAACAAAAAATTCACACCCAGCTCTTCATCCTCCTTAAAAGGACCTTTCTCAGAAGTAATATACAACAACCTCCACTTACATTCATGGACCAAAATTAGTCACATGGCCATACCAACTTGCAGAGAAGCTGAGAAGTGTTGCTTTTAGCTGGATACACTGCACCAATAAAATCAGGGTTCCGTTACTAAGAAGCAGCAAAGAATGATGTATCTCAGGTATAAACAGATTTGTGTCTGGCTCACTTGGGGGAATTATTCTAGAGTTCTGATGCAGCCACTTCAGGGAACTGCATTTTTTTTATTTTTATTAAGATGCTCTGGGGGAAGGGGAACAGACAAATTGCCGTCCTTTTGTTCTTCAGTCTAGTTGTGGAGGACGTTGCTTCACTGGCTCAAGTTAGCACCATCATTGTGCTCTTCCCGGGTGAGGCAGATTAGTCACCAGCTTCTGGACTGCTGCTCACTGGGGCTGCTGGCCGCTCATGCTGGCTGATAGCTACACACGGTAGCCCATGGCAACCCACTGCAGCAGAG